TGTTGCTGGCCAAATTCGACCGCACCTTGGCGCCAAGCCATTTTATGCCTCCTACCCATCCCTGCTCCCCCGAAACTCCTTGCAAAGCAGCAGTGTAAACACAACTCGCAATGAGCTCGGGTGACTTGCTTTCCAAAGAGCCTCCATCGCTTCCGCTGCCCGTCGTATGTTTCTGGGGGTTTACTGTGGTCTCTCTCTCGCTCCCCCCCCCCACACACACCGCCCAGGCGCCGGAGGTCATTCGGATGCAGGACAATAATCCGTACAGTTTCCAGTCAGACGTCTACGCCTATGGGATCGTCCTTTACGAGATCATGACGGGCACGCTGCCCTATTCGCACATTAACAACCGAGACCAGGTACAGCCGAGACCAGAGCTGGGTAGAGGGAGCCCGGCAGACTGGGCGACCGGGAGGTCAGTTATCGATGGTCGCAGGCAGTTAGTGATCGACAGGACCAGAGGAGGGACTTGGCGATCAAAGGGCTGGGGGAGCGGGGGGGGGGGGGGGGGGGGGGGGGGCGCCCCGGGGTGTTTTATTTTTCCTCCTCTCCTTGTCAGTCTTATATCGATTTAATGTTGGAATTCTATCCTTGAGGAGGAAGCTTTGAGGCCGATCCTGTGGAGTTGTCCCAACAGAGCACCTCCTTCAGGCTGTTTCTGAGGACGGTTCGGAGTTGGCCGCATCACCGTGGGCCTGGAGTCACGTGGAGCCCCCGGACTAAAATGGCGGATCTCCCCCTCCAAAAAAAGGGGTGTTAACGCCACCCCACCCCACCCGCCCCCTCTTCCCCGAATCCCCCGGAATTCCTTCACTGGGTTCGAGTTCCACCCTCCTGGCATGGGATTTGAACTGGTGTCTCCCGCCCCTCGGGGGGGGTGGGGGCCGTGGATTATTGATGTCACCGCGACGCCATCATCGGTCAACAGGCACGAGCACACTCCAACAGAGAGGGGAGAGTCGGTGTGGACCAGGAACTGGGCGGAATACTGGGCCTAGAACCGGGAGCAGTCAGGCAGGAATGGAGGGAGACCCCGGCGAGGGAGAGTCGGCGATGGAGAACTGGGGAGGGAGCAGGAACTGAGGGAGGGAGTGTCGGGGAGGGAGAACCAGAAGGGAGAGTTGGGGAGGGAGCGAGAACTGGGGGAGGGAGAACCGGGAGAGAGAGTCGGGGAGGAAGCGGGGGATAGATGGGGGTGTGGGGAGGGGAGCAGGCGACATATGGAGGGGAGTGGACAGTGGGCGACGGACCTTAAGAAACATTGCCTGGCGCTTTGGGCGTCCTGAGGGCAGGAGGAGAGCAAGCTGCCGTTGGCTGGGCTGACGCTTGGGCGGGGCCCTGACTCTCGCCCTCTCTGCTGCAGATAATATTTATGGTGGGCCGCGGCTACCTGACCCCCGACCTCAGCAAGGTCTACAGCAACTGCCCAAAGGCTATGAAGAGGCTCCTTGTGGACTGCATCAAGGTGAAACGTGATGAGCGGCCGCTGTTCTTCCAGGTAAGGCATCACCCTCCAAAGGCACACACACCGTGGGCAGCCCCGCGGGAAAGTATGAAGTTATCCTCTTCAGCAGCGGCCTATAGCAAAGCCAAGACCCATCCAGAGAGAGAGAGAGTGCAGGACACTGTGGTGCAGTGGGATCTGGGGGACCTGGGCTATGAATCCTTAAACGTCAGTACGCAGACGAATGGGATCGGCCTTTACCCTGATGTGGGGGATAGGGGAACGGAGTGTAAAATCCCAGGCAGTCTCTGTAGGGGGTGATGGTGAGACCCCCCACCTGCAGCATTGTGCCCAGTTCCCAGCCCCCTCACTGAAGGAGGGACTGAGGTGGGGGAGCAGTTCGGTGGAGTTCCCTCGGCTGGTTCTTGAGGGTGGGGTAGAGGGTCAGGGTGCTGTCCCCCATGGAAACGCAGAGAATAGAAGCAGGAGTGAGGCCATTCAGGCTGTCAGGCCTGTACTGCTGGTCAGTACAACCCTGGCTGAGTATTCAGCTCACTGCCTGTTCCTGTTTCCCTTTAGCCCGAAGGATTTTATCTAAGTCCTGGAAAACATTCTATGCTCCAGCCCCGACTGCTCTCTGTGGGGCAGGGAGTCCCACAGGGACTCCCCCGACATTTCTCCCCCATCTCAGTCCCACCTCCCATCTCCTTTAGACCGTGACAGCGCTCCTGCTTCTGGATGGCACATTCCCCGCCGCCGTCCAAAATCTGGTTAGGATTTTACAGGTTTCTGTCAGATCCCCTTCCTTGTCCTTCCAAAAACTCCAGTGAATATATAGTCCCTAACCGATCTGGTCTCTCTCTCTCTCTCCCTACATCAGTCCTGCCATCCCAAGAATCAGTCTGGAAAAGTGTGTGCAGTGAGAAGGGAACTGTGTGCAGTATTCCCATTGGGATGCAGAGACCTGTGGTGGTGATAGTGCCCCTGCCTCTGGACTAAGAGGCCTGGGTTCCACATCCCGCTTGCTCCAGGGATACGCCATAACATCTCTGGGCAGGTTAATGAGAAAATACCAGGGAGATGTATTCCCGGTGGGAGAGGGAGATGGGAACTGTGCACGGTAGTCCCAGTGGATAGGGAGTCAGGAGCAGCCCACAGTATTTCCAGTGTGATAGGGAGATGGGAACTGTGTACGGTATTCCCAGTGGGATAGGGAGAAGGAACTGTGTACAGTATTCTGGTGAGATAGGGAGACAGGAACTGTGCACAGAATTCCCAGTGGGATAGGGCAATGGGAACTGTGCATGGTATTTCCATTGGGGTAGGGAGATGGGAACTGTGCACGGTATTCCTGGTGGGATAGGGTGATGGGAACTGTTCACGGTATTCCTGGTGGGATAGGGAGATGGGAACAGTGTATGGTATTCCTGGTGAGATAGTGAGATACGAACAGCGCACTGTATTCCCGATCTCACCAGGAATACCATACACTGTTCCCATCTCCCTATCCCACCAGGAATACCGTGCACAGTTCCCATCTCACTAACTCACCGGGAATACAGTGCGTTGTTCGTATCTCCCTGTGAGTTAGTGAGATGGGAACTGTGCACGGTATTCCCAGTGAGATATAGAGATGGGAACTGTGCACGGTATTCCCGGTGGGATGGGGTGATGGGAACTGTTCACGGTCTTTCCATTGGGATAGGGCGATGTGAACTGTGCATGGTATTGCCATTGAGATAGGGAGATGGGAACTGTGCATGGTATTCCCAGCGAGACAGCAAAAGAGCACGGTATTCCCAGTGCCGTAGAGAGACAGGAAATAAGCACAGTATTCCTGTGCATGGTATTCTCGATGAGATAGGGAGATGGGAACTGTGCACGGTATTCCCGGTGGGATAGGGAGATGGGAACTGTGCACGGTATTCCCGGTGGGATAGGGAGATGGGAACTGTGCACGGTATTCCCGGTGGGATAGGGAGACGGGAACTGTGCACGGTATTCCGGGTGGGATAGGGAGACGGGAACTGTGCACGGTATTCCGGGTGAGATAGGGAGACGGGAACTGTGCACGGTATTCCCGGTGAGATAGGGAGATGGGATCTGCGCACGGCATTCCCAGGGAGACGGGGAATAAGCGCAGCATTCCTGGTGCGCTGTTAGCAATGCTACATTGTGAACATGGTGTAAACCTTTCTCTCTCTCTCTCTCTGTGTGTGTGTGTGTGACCTCCCTCCCTCCATTCGCCCCCCACCCCCACTCTCTCTCCAACATTCCTGCTCCCTGCCCACATTCCCCCCCACCCCGCCAACAGATCCTGGCCTCCATCGAGATGCTGCAGCACGCGCTGCCAAAGATCGAGCGCAGTGCCTCAGAGCCCTCGCTGCACCGTGCCGTGCAGAGCGACGACGTCAACCCCTTCGTGCTGACCGCCTCCCGCCTTATGCCTTCCTGAGAGTCGGCCCTAGCCCCCTCTGCCCACCTGGTGCCCGGGGAGTGGGAGGGAGAGGAGGGGGAGTACCTGCAGGATCCCGGGGCAATCCGCTGCAACTCGCCTCCTCTCCCGTCCCACACCCCTGGCTTCCTGACCCTCGCAGGAGGTCAGTGCGCGAGCCTCGGGGAAGCGCGATCTGGAGGACGGTCCTTCCTCCGCTTCCTGGTGCCAGTGGGGGCCAACTTCCCTCATTTTGGGCAGAGACAAGCAGGGCACCTTCTCGCGTACGGATTCACCGAACTGTTCACAAACTGTTTCACGCAAAAGCCGGAAAGGCAAGCAGCCCTGCGTTGGGTGGGGTGAGGGCACCCTTTGGACGCCCATTGGCGTCTCTAGGCTTGCTCCAGACTTTGAGACATGGAATTTCTTCACGGGATTGCTTTGGCTGGAGGGGGGGGCGGGATCGCGCAGGGGCAGTGGTGTGACACAACCCTTTCTCCGCCTTGCCCCCTTCTCCTCACGGCTGCAGGGTCCAAAGGTATCGCCAGGGGCCTGTAGAGGTGGGAGCCCAGCTAGGCCTCGGGCCCATGTGGGTGCCCCTCCCCGGCTGGTACCTCTCTTCTGTTCTGTCTGTTTTTTTTTAAGAAAAAGAATAAAAAACAACGCCGTGGTTTGGTTTTTAGGCCAGGGTTTTTTATTTTTGCTTTCCTAATTTTGCCAGAACGAAAGCGGTATTTTGAAAGCTGCACAGTTACACGTCGCGCTTCCTGTTCCTGCGCATCTGCGGAAGCCTGACTGCAGCCTGTGACCACGGTTCACCCTTACACCTCCCCCCCCCCCCACCCCCCCCGTCCACTGTCAGGATCTGATACTCCCAGGGACAGCACGGGGTTAGATACAGAGTAAAGCTCTCTCTACACTGTCCCCCCCATCAAACACTACCAGGAACAGTGACAGCACAGGATTAGATACAGAGTAAAGCTCTCTCTACACCGTTCGCCCCCCATGCCATCAAATACTTCCAGGACAGGGGCAGCACAGAGTTAGATACAGAGTAAAGCTCTCTCTACACTGTCCCCCATCAAACACTCCCAGGGACAGCACAGGGTTGGATACAGAGTAAAGCTCCCTCTACACTGTCCCCCATCAAACACTCCCAGGGACAGCACGGGGTTAGATACAGTTAGAGTTAAGATCCCGTTTCCTAATCCAGCTCCTGCTGACGCACTGTCACCTGAAGGTAACAGAACGAAACCCGACTGTCAGAGTGGTGTCCTCTCTCTGTGTGTGTGTATGTGTATGTGTGTGTGTGTGAGTATGTGTTTGTGACTGTATGTCTGTGTGTATGTATGTGTGTGTGTGTGTATGTCTGTCTGTGAGTGTGTGTGTGTATGTCTGTCTGTGAGTGTGTGTGTGTATGTCTGTCTGAGTGTGTGTGTGTCTGTCTGTCTGTGAGTGTGTGTGTGTATGTCTGTCTGTGAGTGTGTGTGTGTATGTCTGTCTGTGAGTGTGTGTATGTCTGTCTGTGAGTGTGTGTATGTCTGTTTGTGAGTGTGTGTGTGTGTCTGTGAGTGTGTGTCTGTGTCTGTGTCTGTGTGTGTGTGTCTGTGTGTGTATGTCTGTGAGTGTGTGTGTATGTCTGTGTCTGAGTGTGTGTGTGTGTATGTCTGTGTCTGAGTGTGTGTGTGTGTGTCTGTGTGTGTGTATGTGTGTCTGTGTGTGTGTATGTCTGTCTGTGAGTGTGTGTGTGTGTCTGTGTCTGTGAATATATGTGTGTGTTTTTGTGTGTGTGTGTGTGTGTGTCTGTCTGTGAATATATGTGTGTGTTTTTGTGTGTGTGTGTGTGTGTCTGTGTCTGTGAATATATGTGTGTGTTTTTGTGAGTGTGTGTGTGTATGTCTGTGTGTGTCTGTGTCTGTGTGTGTGTCTGTGTGTGTATGTCTGTCTGTGAGTGTGTGTGTGTGTGTCTGTGAATATATGTCTGTGTCTGTGAATATATGTGTGTTTTTGTGAGTGTGTGTGTGTGTATGTCTGTGTGTGTGTGTGTGTCTGTGTGTGTCTGTGTGTGTGTGTCTGAGTGTGTGTCTGTGTCTGAGTGTGTGTCTGAGTTTGTGTCTGTGTGTGTGTGTATGTGTGTCTGTGTGTGTGAATATATGTGTGTGTTTTTGAGTGTGTGTGTGTGTCTGTGAATATATGTGTGTGTTTTTGTGAGTGTGTGTGTGTGTCTGTGTGTGTATGTCTGTCTGTGAGTGTGTGTGTGTGTGTCTGTGAATATATGTCTGTGTCTGTGAATATATGTGTGTTTTTGTGTCTGTGTGTGTGTGTCTGTGTCTGTGTGTGTATGTCTGAGTGTGTGTGTGTCTGTGTCTGAGTGTGTGTGTGTCTGTGTCTGAGTGTGTGTCTGTGTCTGAGTGTGTGTCTGTGTCTGTGTGTGTGTGTGTGAGTGTGTGTGTGTCTGTGTGTGTGTGTATGTCTGTCGGTGTGTGTCTGTGTCTGTGAATATATGTGTGTGAATATATGTGTGTGTTTTTGTGAGTGTGTGTGTGTATGTCTGTGTCTGTGTGTGTGTGTCTGTGTCTGTGTGTCTGTGTCTGTGTGTGTGTGTATGTCTGTGAGTGTGTGTGTGTCTGTGTCTGTGTGTGTGTGTATGTCTGTGAGTGTGTGTGTCTGTGTCTGTGAATATATGTGTGTGTCTTTGTGAGTGTGTGTGTGTATGTCTGTGTGTCTGCCTTTAGTGGCTCCTTCCCAACCTTCCTCGCTCATCATCAACACCGCCAAAGGAGGAAGCTCACATCAGGCACAGAGTCGGTCTTCAGTCTTTGAAGCGGATCCTCAGGGTGGGTGACTGAAGGCTTATGCGAGAAGGTGAGGTTTGAAGGCCCGAGGGAAGAGAGAGGGAGCCCTAGAGCTTTTAGCCCCTTGCCACTTCTGGCACAGCGGTTGGAGGCAGGGCAGTCCGTCCAGGAAATGGGGAGGGATGATCTGGAGCTGAGAGTCGGAGGAGCGTGGACAGATCTCGGGAGAGTCGAGTCCGTGGCTTGGAGGTAAGAGACAGGGGGTAGCCCTGTGACAGGCAGAGTCCATGTGTTTAGCCTTTCTGCCTTTGACCTGCCAAGCCTCCAGTGAAAGGGATCGGTATATAAAGCAGGGCAAGAGTTATAGCTGGGGGAAAGGCAACTATGAGGCGATGAGGCAAGATTTAGGATGCATAGGATGGAGAAGGAAACTGCAGGGGCTGGGCACAATTGAAATGTGGAGCTTGTTCAAGGAACAGCTACTGCGTGTCCTTGAGAAGTATGTACCTGTCAGGCAGGGAGGAAGTGGTCGAGCGAGGGAACCGTGGTTTACTAAAGAAATTGAATTTCTTGTCAAGAGGAAGAAGGAGGCTTATGTAGAGATGAGGCGTGAAGGCTCAGTGAGGGCGCTTGAGAGTTACAAGTTAGCCAGGAAGGACCTAAAGAGAGAGCGAAGAAGAGCCAGGAGGGGACATGAGAAGTCTTTAGCAGGTAGGATCAAGGAAAACCCTAAAGCTTTCTATAGGTATGTCAGGAATAAAAGAATGACGAGAGTAAGATTGGGGCCGGTCAAGGACAGTAGTGGGAAGTTGTGCGTGGAGTCCGAAGAGATAGGAGAGGTGCTAAATGAATATTTTTCGTCAGTATTCACACAGGAAAAAGACAATGTAGTCGAGGAGAATACTGAGATACAGTCTATTAGACTAGACGGGATTGAGGTTCATAAGGAGGAGGTGTTAGCAATTCTGGAAGGTGTGAAAATAGATAAGTCCCCTGGGCTGGATGGGATTTATCCTAGGATTCTCTGGGAAGCTAGAGAGGAGATTGCAGAGCCTTTGGCTTTGATCTTTATGTCGTCATTGTCTTCAGGAATAGTGCCAGAAGACTGGAGACTAGCAAATGTTGTCCCCTTGTTCAAGAAGGGGAGTAGAGACAACCCTGGTAATTATAGACCAGTGAGCCTTACTTCGGTTGTGGGTAAAGTGTTGGAAAGGATTATAA